GAAGTTGTTACCTTGTCAAACAAGTGATCAGTTTCCATCCCGTAGGTCTATGATTCCACCAGATATGGATGGAAGGTATGACATCGATGGCATAGTGGCTGAAGATGTATTCAGGACCGGAGGTAGAGGTCGTCCATAGAAACAGTACAAGGTTCATTTTGCTTATCAAGAGCCAGAAGTCGACCACTGGTTTACAAGATCTGAACTTCTAGAGACAGCTCTCGATATAGTCCGGGCCTACGAGAGGCAACAGAAAGGTAAAGGTCCTGCCTTGGACTGAAATTTTCTCGGAGGACCTCGAATTTAGGCCGGCGGGAGTGAAACGGTATTCACCACTTCGCAGTAGCTGATGCAGATCCCAGGGCTCGGTCCCTAGTTCCCCACCTTACCTGTGTACAGTAACTGTGTCAACCCGTAGATTTGAACCTGCGACCTGTAGGACCGCCAGTGGTAGGTAGGATCTCGTAGGTTACAGGGTATAGGGGATTCAAACTGTAGACCTGTCGGGCAGGAGTCTAGACAGTCCAGAGGTTGTAGCTRTAGACTGTCCGAAGGGTCAAAGTCGTAGCTGCTACTTACCTGAAAGGGCAGAGTCGTAGCTGCTACAGTACCGAAAGGCCAGGTAGAGAGTTCTAGAARTGGCCTTTCGGAAGTCAGCCCACTATAGGTCTAGGCAAGTGGGCAAGTGGTGGAAGTCCACCACGCAGAGGCAGCAGTCCCAGTCCAGCCAGTCCGGTCCAGTCAAGCAAGTACCGTCTGGGACWGTGCACACCGTGGGCCAGGGAAGCAGGGCAGACCAACGACTCACAGAAGTATAAATCAAGASGCTGCGCACARCCATTCATTCATTCCTGCGGAAGYCATGCRGAAGCRCTGCCTCAGCRTCTTGTGCGAGKAGGTCTGCAGTGTGCCCGAAGTCGAAGAGGGCAGAGAAGTGTAGTATAGCGATAGGGTAGAGGCAGCTAGCGCTGCCATAGCTATAGTAGTAGTGTGTGTGTGTTGCATGAGTGTGCAGAGTGTCGTGTGTGGGATATCCAGGGTGATCCAGTGTGTGAACAGTGGATGTTGGGCGCTCAGTCGCCATAGCCAGTGGAAGTGAACTTACCTGGAAGCCATATCTTCGTGTACTGTGTGGGCGCATGTCGCCAGTTTGTTGTGCTACTGTTCACGTGCATGAAAAGTGAGAATGAGTCGAGTCTGATTGCAGTCCCTTCTTGGGGTGGGAATTAGGACTGCATATCCGTCTCCTTTGAGTGATATGGGGGCCTGTCATCCTTGTTTCTTTACTCTAACATCCTCTGGAAAAACCTTTCCTCTCTTGTTCTCGCCTTCTGGTGGCATCTCTCCAAACTCCGGCTGGACCTCCACGAATGTGATGGTACGAGTTCGACGTTTTCTCTTTAGGATTCTGAACCGGAGATGCTTTGCCCGTGCGCCGCTCTCTGCCGCCGAACGCTTCTTCCTGAGTTTGAGTTGTGCCAGTCCTTCCAGCAGATCCGGTCGTCCTGCAACTCAGCAACTTTCTCGTCTATCAACCATACTCTGCTGAAAATTCGTCTAGCCTTCTTTTGTTGCTCCTCATCCTCCGACCAAGATAGTTTAATCTTCCGCCATCTGCAAAGGATTTCTGCCTGTATCATTGCTTTCGTCTCCGCCCAGATCAGCTCTCGTGGGTTGGACACACTTTCGATCGTTCTGCTACATCTTTCCTTCCATATGACCCATAGGGTCACCTTCCTGATAAGTCCATACCAAATCCTTTCCGCTTTCCGGGGCTGTTCTTACCCGTTTTTTCTAATATCAGCTCCAGCCTTTTTCTTTTTTTTTGTTACGATCCTGGCTAATTTTGAAGTGCAAATTCACAAGAAAGTACAATGCCGTCCAATTGCAAAAGAAATGAATGAACTTCAGATGAGGGAGAGATAAAAAAGGAAGAAGAAGAAGCAGATGTACACCAGCAAAGACCAATGACGATTCCCCCTTCTTTCGCCAACCAACTCCTCCTTATGGCCTCCTCTCTTATTCAAACAATAAATAATAATAATTATAATGAATGGCTGTTGGCGGCATAACCAGAGGTCCACCGTAGCCATAGCCTCCCTCTTCCTTCTCTCCAACCAGGACGAGGCTATGGACGACTAATAAGGGCCTAGCCCTGCTGTGCAAAAGACAACGCAAAGCAGCTGTGTCAGCTGCTACTCAGGCCGCCCTGCCTGAGTCTGCCTTAAAGCCTTCTTGGTGCGGCGCAACCCCAACTGGGGCCTTCCAGATGCAGTGCCTAACAAGGTGATGAAGATGGTGTCCAGCATAGCCATGGAAGTACCTCGCCACTCTCCTCCCTAGTCCCCTTCTTCCTTCTCCTCCTACCAGTGAAGCTCCCCCATAGCCACTGTGGAAGCTCCCAGTGTGGCATACTGTGCAGCCACACGGGCCTGCAGGGCCCGACCAGCTTTCTCAGCCTAAAAGCCTGAAAACGAGGGCCTACAGGCCCTGTGTCGTTTTCAGCCTAAAACTTCTAAAAGCCTGAAAACGAGGGCTTACAGGCCCTGTGTCGGTTCAGCCTGACAGCCTGAAAAGAAGGGCCTACAGGCCCTGTGTCGTTTCAGCCTGACAGCCTGAAAACAAGGGCCTAC